GGGTTGGGAGAGCCCCCCCCGACCCCCCCCGGCCAGCCGTGCCATACCCCCCACCACACCCCAGAGCCAGGGTAAGCCAAGGGCAGGGAGATGGGGAGGGTGTTTGGGATGCGTCTCCCCCATAAACCAACTGCTGTCAGCAGGATGGTCCCCAGCCACGGGGGACAAGAACCCCTTCCCCACCCATGGGGAGCAGCACAGACCCGGCCCTCCAGTTTGGGGGCTCCCTCAGCCCTGAAAGAGTTAAACCTGGGGGGGGGGTTGTGCAAGCAGGGATGTGGCCCCTGGGGTCAAGCCCCCCCAAAACCAGAGTGTTTTGGGGGTGGGGGATCTACACCGGCAGCATCAGCTCTCACCTCAATGTGCTCCTTGGTGATGAGCCAGGGCCGGTGCGCCAGCAGCTTGTTGATCTCATTGAGGTTGCGGAGTTTTTGGGGAGCACAGTGCAGCCCCTGCAGCCATGCTGGGTTGCCCCCCACCTGCAGGAACTCCCCCATGTGCAAGCCCACCAGGTAGGAGCACTGGTGCCGGGCCGCTGCCTGCGGGGAGAGCCGGGCAGTCAGCTCCTAGCAGGGGCATGGGGCCCCCCAAAACCCTGCTACGAGCCCTTGGAGAAGCCAAGGCAGGGAGCCACCCCCTGCATTGCCCGTAGAGGGTTTTCCCTGGGGATGAGAGTCCAGACAGGGGTCTCTTCCCCGCCCCACCCCCCATCAATGCCAGCCCCCAGGAGGAGAGGTTTGCTGGGGTACCTGGGTGGGCACCACAGGACCAACCCCAAAGGGGCTTCCAAGCCTCGGGGACTACAGATCAGAGGGGGACCCATGTGGGGGGTTGCATCGGTGGGGTCCCAAACACCTTCCTGCCTCCAGGCAAAATCCCAGCAGAGGTGCTGGGACCACAGGTCCCCCCAGGTGACCCCCCCAGCCCAAGGGGCCCTCCCATCCTCACCATGATGGCAATGTAGTGGCGCTTGTGGTAGGGCAGGGGCCCGTCCATGCGCAGCAGGAGGTACTGGGTCTTCCAGAAGCTGCTGAGATACTGAGGGTGCAGCCCCATGACCGTTGTGATGTTGTCCACCCTGCCCGCCGCGACGCAGGCCTCGATGAGGAGCTGGTGCCGGCTGCTCTCCGTGCCCTCCTGCAGGATCTGCTGGGATAGGAAAGGAGGGAGGTGAAGGGCTGTGTGCTGCAGCCCCCCACTCTCCCCAACAGCCCCCCCCAACCTAGAGGGAGGCACACACCCCACACCCCCCCCTCATTGTCCGCCCGTGCGACCC